GTGCTTTCGCCTAGCACCTCTTCACTCTATCACCTTTCTCTTTGTTCTTTATCGTTCTCCTTCTTCTCATGATTGCACTCTTTTAGATGTTATCTCTGATCAAATTGACCATACCCTCTCTCTTTTCCCCTCTGCCAATATTGTTTTTGTTAGTGATTTTAATACAATCACACTAAATGGCTCGGCTCTAACACCACTGATCCTGCTGGCACTAAAGCCTTTAACTTCTGCGTTTCTCAATCTCTTACTCAGATAGTTAACTTTGTGACTCGTTTTACTGACAACCCTAATCATTTACCTTCACTCCTTGACTTATGTCTTGTCTCTGACCCAAGTTTATGTTCAGTTTCTCCCTTTTCTCCCTTAGTTAGTTCTGACCATGCAATGATCTCTTTAAATCTTTCTTCTCGTACTTCTTTTTTGGGCTCACCTTATCATCGCACCACCTACTACTACCCTAAAGCTGACTGGGATTCCTTTCGTGATTTTCTTCGTGATGGTCATTGGGCTGATGTTTTTTCTCTCTCAGCTGACAAATGCGCCTCCTACGTAACCTCCTGGATTCAGGCTGGAATGGAATTTTCTTCTTCTTGTGCGGCTGCTTTATCCAATCGTAATCATTTTTTTCATCTTTTTCAAAAGAACAACTCTCTTGAGAACAAACGGCTCTTTATTATTGCAAGAAATCGATGTAAAAAGGTGCTTTCTGATGCTAAACTCGATTATTCTCAGTTCACTAAATCTCGCATCTTATCGCAGAAGTTAGGCTCTAAAGACTTTTGGAAAATCTTCAACAGCATTGTTAACAAGGGTAGATCTAACATTCCATCTCTCATTCATGGGACTGATCTTGTTACCTCTCCCAGGGATAAGGCAGAACTGTTTGCAAATAACATTTCTTCTAATTCCACTCTTGAATCTTATGGACATTCTCTTCCTTCCATTCCAGTCAAACAGGTTGACCCATTGTTAGACATTTAAATCACTTCGGCTTCTGTTGCTAAAGTCATATCTCAATTAAACTTGTCTACAGCTTGTTGTCCAGACAACATTCCTGTCACAGTCTTGCAGAATTGTTCTCCAGAAAATGTCTCAACAAAACTTTCTTCAATTCTCTTTAAACTATTTAACAAGTGTTTAACTGAGTCTTGGTTTCCTGCTTGTTGGAAAATGGCATCTGTGGTTCCAATATTCAAAAACTTTGGAAAAAATTCTGACCCCTCCAATTATCGTCCGATCAGTCTTCTTTCTGTTATTAGCAAGGTCTTTTAGTCTTTGATCAACAAATTCCTCACATCTCATCTTGAGTCAAATAAACTGCTGTCAGACAATCAATACGGTTTTCGATCCTCTCGCTCTACGGCGACTTGCTAACTGCTGTAACTGAAAAATTTTATCGTGCATTAGATGGAGGCGGTGAGGCTAGGGCTATTGCTCTCGACATATCTAAAGCTTTCGACAAAGTTTGGCTTGCTGGTCTTTTCCATAAGCTTGCTTCATATGGTGTTTCTGGGAAAGTTTTTGAGATTATCAAATCATTTCTTTCTAACCGGTTTATTAAAGTCATCCTTGAAGGCCAAGACTCTTCTTTATTTCCAGTAACTTCTGCGGTTCCCCAAGGTTCCATCCTGGGCCCTGTTTTGTTTCTTATCTACTTAAACGATCTTCCTGACAACCTTTCATCTAAAGTAGCTCTTTTTGCTGACGACTCAACTTTATACTCCTGTATTGACAAAAAGTCTTCTCTTTTCTATCGCCTAGAACAAGCAGCTGATCTTGAATCTGATCTTACTTCATTAATAGATTAGGGTTCACAGTGGCTTGTGAATTTCAACTCTAAAAAAACCCAATTGCTTACTGCAAACAACTACCGTAATATGGTCAACATTCCTATATTAATGAATGGCAATCCTCTTACTGAGTCCTTCACTTTACGTCTTCTTGGATTATCGCTTACTACTGACCTTTCATGGAAACCATATATACAATCGATTGCTAAATTAGCTTCTGCTAAGGTTGCTTCTCTTTATCGTGCTCGCCTTTTCCTTACTTCTGATTCCATTCTCTACCTCTACAAATCTCTTATTCGTCCCTGTATGGAATACTGTTGTCATATTTGGGCTGGTTCTTCTAACAATTCACTATCTTTTCTTGACAAGGTCCAAAAACGCATCGTAAATGTTGTTGGACCTGGACTGTCTGCTAAGCTTGAGCCTCTTTCCCATCGTGGTAAAGCTGCATCTCTTTCTCTTTTCTACAAATACTATCATAGTCACTGCTCAAAGGAGTTATTATCTCTAGTTCCATCAATTAAAATTCATTCTTGTTTCACTTGTCATTCAGCTAAGTCACATTCGTTTACTGTATCTGTCCACGCATGCTCTAAAAATATTTATTCGTCTAGTTTTTTTCCCCGCACTTCAATCCTTTGGAACTCTCTCCCATCTTCATGTTTTCCTGACTCATACAACCTTCAACTTTTCAAGTCTTCTGTCAACCGTTTCCTTGCTCTATAACTCTCTTCTTTTTTTTCCTAGTAAATCCCAACTTAATAGTGGTTGCTTGCAGCCTTGTTGGGAGTGAATGCAAATAAAAAAAAAAAAAGACAAATTTTTTGTAGTTTGTATTTTAAAAGTCATCCATGATGCATTGAAAGATGGCTAGGCTTTTTAAGGTCTATTTTACAGAATATACTGTTTATGGATACCTTATTTAGTAGGTCGTCTATTTTAGGACATGGTTATTAATAAAGTCTGTATTTAAATTAATTTGATGGAATAAGCTCATATATTTTTCATTCAATGGTAGATAGGGTTAGGCAGAATTAGATTGGTTCTTGTTTTCTTACAAGTTGAAGTGTCAGAGCCTGTGTCAATAAAGACTGGCACTGGTATTAATACCGGTTAAGATTGTGGCAGTATGTGGGACTTAGCCCTACAAAAGAGAGTTTTTTGGAATATTTTATGTTCCATTGTGATAATAAGGATAATTAAATAATATTGTGGTAAACCCAATCAAGACTAATAACATTCAAAGGTTATTATTTATCTTATTTATATCTTATTTAATGGATCATAAAATATTGCAAAAATCTCTCCAAGACGAACTGTCAGAGGAGGAATATCTATTGGAAACGAATGGTACAAACTTATATTTTAAAAGCTCAAGAAACAGATGCTGATTAGCTAGATGTGTTAATTGTTCTATATTGTGCAAAATCCTTCCCACTTATTGAAAATCAATTAAACTACTAAAATTAAAAGACACACTAACTATTTTAGATAATAAAATTTCAAAATAAACTACACCTATAATGATGCCTCACAAGCTAAGATCAACTAAACAATATATACAATATATATAAAAAGCATATACGTCCAGAGTGAATAGCAGTGAAACATGGGCAATGAGGGTTATTAAAGTTCAGCGTTTGGAAATCAGTGATAATTTAAGAAAAAGATTATGCATAGTGAGTGTATCTGATAGGGTGTATCATGGAAGATTGAGATGGTTTGGGTCAGGGTTAGGGTTATGCTATATATATATATATATATATATATATATATATATATATATATATATATATATATATATATAGCATAGTATAGTATATCTGTATATATAATTATATATATATATATATATATATATATATATATATATATATATATATATATATATATATATATATATATATATATATATATATATATATATAGTATAGTATCAGTATAACTGGCACGAGAACAAGAAGGTTCACACAAAAAAAAAGATTCAAAATTTCAATAAGCTAATTTTCAAAAACACATGCAGTCATTCCTAACAACAATTACAATATATTTTCCAGTAAAAATATTACAATACATGAGCTACATAAATAAAGTAATATTTACACCGGATAGTTCACTCTCATATAGCATTGCTAAAACAAGAAGATCTAGCAGCTATATTTTTACATACAGTAGAGTATAAAAATATAACTTCTATAAGACTATTAAACTAATATCAATTTGCTGTTATATATATGTGTATATATATATATATATATATATATATATATATATATATATATATATATTTATATATATGTATATTTATATATATATATATATATATATATATATATATATATATATATATATATATATATATATATATATATATATAAGTTATATAAATCATTACCACAGTAACCGGTACTTTTCAAAACCAACCACTGGTCATATTACAACCAGTGGTTGGTTTTGAAAAGTACCGGTTACTGTGGTAATGATTTTCAAATGTCAAAAGCCTAATAAATAAATATATATATATATACTTTCCTTGTAATGCTGATCAAAATCTATATCTTATTTTATAAAATAGGTTTTACAATACCTAAATAGTAGATAAAAGATTTTTGGGATATTACATAATACGTAAGGTTGATACATTTTATCAACATTTGTAAATAACTCGTACGTTTAACTCGCAAAACGAAATCGCTACGTAACTACATTACCTTAAATGGATGAGCAGATCTCCGAACATGAACACTCTATACACTTCACGCTTTGCAATCCACCGTTCCTACCTCGTCATTAATTTATTCTAATTATACGTAAATATGCGTTACCGCCATTATGGAGGACAAACGTTAACAAATAGTTCGGCATTGTCAACAGAAAGCGAACATTTGTCTAAGCTTGATTCTAATGCAAAGCAAAGATACTTAGAAAAAATAAGCTTTATAAACCACGTTGACCCATATCTTCTTAAAGATACTGATTTCTCTGATAATATAGATAGTTATCCAAATGTTACATATCTGGATATTGTTAACTATTTTTTATTTGCTCCGAGTCCTCTTACTAAGGATCAGTTAAAAGCATACAAAGCTCTTGATTCTTATAATCAATTTGTATCAGGTTAGTTTATCAACGCTGGTGTGAAATTATTTGAGAAATATGTTCTTATTCATGGAAGAGTAGGTTATTTTAATTGCTAGTTCAATATTAAAATAAAAATAGCTTTCTTGTTTTAATTTTTTGTCCTAATTTTATTAGGTGAAACACTCTCAAAAAATGAATGATGTACCATTACATCCATGGATTATTTCGGAGAAGTCAGGAAATATAGTTTGTGCACATTGCAATTGCATGGCTGGTCTCGGCGAAGTTATTCACATGTTGGTGCGGTACTATTTCATATTGAGTGTGCAGTTAAAAATTAGAAATTCAAAAATATGCGCTGATGAAAAAGGTTATTGGTTACTACCAAGCTCTTAAAAGATAGAATTCAAGCCTGTTTCAGATATTGATTTTACATCACCCAAATCTTTGCAATGCAATTTAAATAATAAAGTTCAACGCATAATCTATGACAAAAAAATAGCACATAGAAAAAGTGTTTCTATTCCAACAAAAGATGAAACTGATAAATTTTTTTTAGACCTTAGTCAATGTGGAACAAAACCAGCTATTCTTTTAATTATTCCTGGATTTACCAAACCTTATAAACCATCAATAATAACAGAAAAATATCCTGAATCATTGTCAGATCTTTATCAGAAAAATATATTTTTTAAACTTTGAACAACTCCTAGCTGCTTGTAAAAAAAAAAAAAATTACAATAACGATTGAGCAAAGTAAAAATGTTGAGAGTAAAACGCGACTTCAAGCAAAAAGAAAAAACTGGTTTTACTTTAGGGCAGGTCGTACAACTGCTTCAAAATTCGGGAGTGTATGCTGCGCAAACATCACCCAACCACCAATCAGTTTGATTATGCAAGTATGTTACCCCATTCAAGCACGTTTTTGCACAGCAGCAACAAAATGAGGAAATGACCATGAAAAAAAAGCGTTGACTTTGTATTCCACAACCATGGAAAAGAAACAGTCTAAATTTTCAATAAAAAATTTAATTTCAGTTCAACAACCCTTCCTTGGTGCATCACCAGATGCAGTTATTAATTGTGATTGTTGTGGAAATGGTTGTCTGGAGATAAAATGTCCATATAGTATGAGAGATAAATACATTAGCGAATTGTTAGATTTTAAAAATTGTTGTCTGGAAAATAAAGCTGGTTATATATCTTTAAAAAAATCACATAAATATTACTATCAAGTTCAGTGTCAGTTATATGCTTCATCAAGTAACTACTGTGATTTTTTTATTTGGACATCAAAAGATTCGTATTGCAAAAGAATATTGCTGGATTTGGAATTTATGGACAGGAATATAATAAAATCTAAACAATTTTTTTAAGAATGTATTTTACCTGAACTAATTAACAAATTTTACAGCCAAAAAAATCAATTAATGAAAGAAATATCAGATAAAAATAAATTTATACTAATAGAACACAGCTACTTTAAAAAAGAAAACAAAGTTTTTAATGATCACGATTATTGTATAAAATTGAAATAAAAATGTAAACTTTTAATAAAAATATTTTATACTTAATTTGATAATATTTATTTTTGTTTATAAGATCTAGTTTCAATTAATTATTCAATCCTGTTAAATTTTTAAAAATTATTCCACAGGAATAATTGAAACACATATATTTATCAAAGAAGAACAAACAATAACAATTTTGTCTATTGTGCATAATCCAGAATCTTTAGTATATAAGTAATCTAATGGCATAATACTTTGCAGAACTTTATATTTGTTACGTAACAATCCAATAACTCTCTCAACGTGTACTCGAACAGAGGCAATTTTCCGGGTTGTTTCTACATCTGAACAAGTCAGTTGTAACTTTCCTTTTGTAAATCCTGGAATCTTTAGCTCCCTACAATAAAAACCAACACTCTCAGCAATGTTAAAACCTCTATCAGCTTAAATAACATTTCCAGGAAGAATGTTTTTTAAAATTGAACAATGCTCTGTTAGGTATTTATCGCTAACACGTCCTCCCCAAGCTTTAGAAACAAATGTTATCACACCTTGTGGGCTTACACCTATTAAGAATTTAACAGTATTGTGATGTTTGTACTGTGACCAAGTTGCTGCTCTTGCGCATAAATTAGATGGTTTATTTATGAATATTTCAAAGCAATCAATTATCACAGCCACTTTTGTTTCAAAATATTTTCTGAAGCATAAAGGCATAGTTTCTATAAGCTCATTGCGAGCAGGCCATTTAATTAAATGTTTCATTCTGAAGTACATAATGTCAATCCATCTTAAAAATACTTTTGATGAGGTCGATTTTGAAGTTTCAAATCTATAAGCAAGGCCTCTAATAGATAGATTTAAACGCAATCTCATAAGCGTCAAAGAAAATTCTTCAAAGTACGATAAAACTGAGTTCTCATTTTCAGTTATAAAAGGCTTTAAGAAGTTAAATAAACAACATAAAATTTTCAAATTTGGCAATTCAGTGTAAAATGTTACTTTTGAATCGGTATCAAACCATTCAATAGTTCCCACATGGAGTTTGACTAAATTTGCACGCAAATCATAATTAAGTTTGTTTTTATATATAAACTCAGTTTCTATTTGATTGATATTTTTGACAGTCATATCAGTTTGAACACTCGGATCTACTAAGTTTTCACAATCTATTGTAACACTTTCTGAGACAATTGAATCACTACTTTTAAAATTCTCTATTTGAAAATCTACGATTGAATCTTCAGAAGGGTTTAATTAGTGATGCTGTTTCTACAAGACATAGAATCATTTCGACTTGTTAACAATGAACGATTTTTGTGTCGTAAGTATCTTTTTCTAGGTTTCTCAACCTCAAACTTAAACTTTTTGTGCCCCATATTCAAGGATGGAACCCAATCAGGATCATTCTGTGAGAAAAGAGATGCAGGGTGCAGATTCACCAAACTTTCGTAACTCTTGCGTAGCTCAACTAAGGTTACGGAAATCGTAAGTTCAGCGTAGTTTGGTATTCACCAATGTTTCGCAGCATTTCCGTAAAGTTAGGGTTGCGCACGAGTTGCGCCAAACTTACGCAAAAACTTAGGCAAAAATCAACCAAGTTAATTTTTGTTTGAATAAACCAAGTTTTCGTAATTTAATAAAACAAACTTTTCTAATATTGAGTTCATATAATTTCTAATTAATTTAAATTAGGGGTTATTACTAATTAACATTTTTCACACCCTAATAAAATGACAATAATATTTTTTATAAACTTTGCTGTAAAAACTGAATACTTTTTATTGAATATTTTTAAAAAAAAAAAAAATTATAAATATTAGGAAAATAGTTTTAAGTTGAAAAGAGGTAGAGAGGGTTCAGAATTGATTATTCTACAAAGAGGTTATTAAGGGCAAATAAATTTTTAAATTGTTTAATATGCAATTAATAAATAAAAAAAAACTTTCATTTTTTTCATTCATAAATATCACGTAAATCATATATATCCCCATATCGCCTTCAATTTAATGACATAGTTTTAACTAGTGTTCTTTGTACAATGCCAAGTCGAATTGGTTGACTTGTGTTAATTCAACCTGAACATAGTGTACATCATCTTCGTTGTTTTCCTCAAAGTTTATGTCATCTAGAATTTCTAATCCTAAGGAATTGTAAAAGTTTTCCAGCAACTTACACTTAAAATATATTTTGCAATATATAGTTTGGGTAAGCATATGTTTAGGAGCACTGAAGTGCTTCACGTCTCTTGTGACATCCAATGGTTTTTGAGATGATCAAAGGATTGCCCCACATCACTATCTATCTGTAGGTGAACTTTATTGAAATAGATTTTTTCTGGTGTAGTTGGCTGATTAAATTGTGCAATCATGACTGGTAATAAGCAAAAAGGAAATCTGCATTAGGATTATATTCTAATGTCTTTTTCAATTCAAAAATAAAAAAAAATAAAAATTATTCTTTTTTTGAATTGACTAGTAGTTTTTACCAATTATTATTTGAAACTCCCAGTTAACTTAAAAACTCTCAGTTACATTTTTGCTTCTGAAGAAATTGGGTTGCTCCTCAATATGCTTGGTGACAAATCATTGTTAATATGTTGGCTTTATATACTTCTACATATTTTTATACAAATGAGATTTTTTAACACATTCTTCATCAGAGTAATCGTTTAAAGCAGTATATTGAGCTTAACGCTAGATTTGATCTTGACCAAATTAATCAAATTTCTATTTAAACTAAAACAAAATAAAGCTATTAAAACAACTAAATGAACTATGATAGTTAAACTTAATGAGACACGTACCATATAACAAAAAACTGTGAAATAGAATATTTATAAAAATATACTTGCTTTTTTGTAAATATATACTGTTTTATTAATATTTATAAAGATATAGTTGCTTTTTTTATGAATATAATAATTCAATAATTGTATATATTACCAAAATCATAACTGCATTATAACAATACAGCATCTTTTAAAATATAATCCAAATAATATACAATATACTATAAAATAATTATTTAAATAACAATGTTACTATTATTTTGCATAAGATGTTATGCTATATTAATAATATTTTAATATAAATAAATTAAATACATTAGGTTTAACTTAATTAATAATATAACATCTTAATGGTTGCAATAAAGATGTTATATCAATATTTATTTATAATATATCATCATGATGCATGTAATTTAAATATATTCGGACCCTATTATATGCTATATTACAACTATAAGATAATAAATTGATCATATTATACAAAAATATAACAATAATACTATGATATTATAATACACAATGTTTTGGTTTGTTAAACAGTTATATAACTGACAAAAACGTGATGACCTACAAATCTATATATATGTGTGTTTATATATATGCGTATATATATATATATATATATATATATATATATATATATTTATATATATATATACGCATATATATAAATATATATATATATATATATATATATATATATATATATATATATATATATATATATATATATATATATATATATATGTATATATATATATATATATATATATATATATATATATATATATAAACACACATACACAATCAAACATACATAGATATTTATACAAACATATACATACATACACACACATAGACACACACCAAACACACATACACACAGTACATGAATGTATGTATGTCCAGTGCGTGCATACACACATATATGTATATGTGTATATGCACACGCCTATTTATGCATATGTGTGTATGGTACACATACATACATACATACATACACACATACATACATACATACATACATACATACACACATACATACATACATACATACATACATACATACATACATACATACATACATACATACATACATACATACATACATACATACAAACATATATACACACACAAACACATACACACATATACGCAAAACACATACATTCATACATATACATACACACATGTATACATATACAAGCATACACACAATACATATACACGATCACACACACATATATATAAATATGTAAATAAATATACATGAATAAGTAAACACTTTATACGCAACAAATATTAAGATGTTATTAAGTTATAAAAATATTATGATGCATTTGTATTTCAAATATAAATGGCATTTATATTTGAAATATAAATATACATGAATTGTATATATTATAATAAAATTCTATATCAATCTGACAATATATGAATCATAATAATATTACACTATTTCTAATATTTAGTTATTTTAACTTTACGCCAAAGTTAAGGCAGCTAATAGCTAACGTAACTTTTCTTGCTTAAATTGAGCTGAGCAAGTTTATAAAAAGTTTGGTGAATACCGATTTTTTAGCACAGAAGTTACGAAAAAACTTACGTAAGTTTTGTTTAACGCAACTACGCAAGTTTCGTGAATACGGATTTCACTGTTTTGAACTTACGCCAAACTTACGCAAAAAAAAAGTTTGCTGAATACGCTTCCAGGTTTTCCTAAATAAAAATGTTAAACAGTTAATGATATTAAACTTTCAAAGTTATAAAAATACTTCAAAGGTGAAAAGGCTTATTCTACCTGTAATAAAATGAGCACTGCAAATTCGAGTGTGGAGGATATCAGGATAGTTACCAACTCTGTTTATGGCATTTATTCATTTTTGTCTACGTTCTTTTGATAAAATCTTACCATCATCGCCTTAATTGCAAGCTACTTTTGGTAAACGAAAAAAAAAATTTTCCCTTTTCACGATTTGAACGATTTGAACATACAGCACAAAAGTTGACCATATTATAATTTTATTATTACAATATTTGGATATTTATATATTAAACTTTAATTTAAAATAAAAAAATGATAATAACTAAATAAATCAGATCAGGATTTATATTTTCTTATTCTGGTTATACATTAAATTTTATAAAATATTATATTATTTTGAAAAAACTATGAATATTATAAATAATATATTAGTTCAGCTAACTTAGTTGTCCTCCATAATGGCAGATTTGAAATCAAAACAACTCTTAATTATTTCGTGACGTCGAGCTAGGAACGGTGAATTTCTGTTCGCATTATTGTTTTTGGACATTTTGATAAACCACGGCTGTTTCACGAAATGTAAAATTGGGCATTACGTCACGAGTTTAGCAAAAACAATTTCCGCATATTATGCGGAAATCGAGTTTAGCAAAAACAATTTCCGCATATTATGCGGAAATCGTTTTTCCTAAACTCGTGACGTAATGCCCAATTTTACATTTCGTGAAACAGCCGTGGTTTATCAAAATGTCCAAAAACAATAATGTATTTGTGTATTATACAAATTTCGGTATATAAAGTATAAAAATTCAATAACTTTAAAGTAATGTTTTTTTTTCTATTAACGCTTTTATGTTCTAATAATAAAAAAATGAAACATCTATCTTTCCTTGTTAAATTAATATTCTGATTAAACGGAATAAAAATAAATGTTGTAAAAATATTGCTAATGATTTGGGATCACTTTTCTGTTTTTTGCGTATTTTAAGGAAAACCTGTCTTGGGCCAATCAAGATTAGATATTTTAAGCTACATGCTTTATGGTTGAAATTTTACATACTTATAAACGAATGTCAATTTTTTCAGATTTTTGGTGAACATGGATGAAAAAAAAAATTTAAGTTGGATTTTTTAGCTTTTATATTTTTGTTACTACTTGTTTTATATGATAAACGTTATATTTTTGCCAAGTTAACCAAATTATTGAAAAAACAACCCTTTATGCACATGAAAATCAAAAAAATTACTTTCTGTACTTCTAACTAAAACGTTTTCAACCTTGACAAAGTTTGTTGCTTTTAGCAACAAAATTTGTAGCTACATGCGAAAAATTTTTGTTTACATTTTAAAGCAATGACGTAACTTTAAATGCGTTACTTCCCAATTCTCTATTAAATAAAAATTATTAAAACAGCATTTTTACCGAGACAATTTTTTGTGTATAAATAAAACAAACTTTGGAAAACTCCGGAAGATGCATGAAGCGCCAACATTTAACATAAAAAGTCAGTAAGATTATGAAGAGTATTTTCCATATAGAATGGAATCAAAACTAGTATCAATTGCATACAAAGA